GCTTTGTAGGGCGTGCGGTGCCGTGGAGCCCTTTCTTGTCAGCTCCGCTGGGCGCCGAAATCTTTCTCTTCTTTCTCAGCTAGGTGAGCTATGCGAGCACATGACTTTGGTCGGGCCCTCTGCGGACCCCTACGGCCCTTCTTTCCATGGTGCTGCTCCCAGGCTTTCTTTGGACACTGTCGGTCCTCTCCCCGGCGCTTCGGGGGACGACCTGGAGCCAACTTGTGATGGCAGCCCCTCCTCTTTGAGGCCGCCTTCCGGACAAACTCACGGGAACCCTCTCATGCCTTATGCCCCGCTCTGCGCCGAGAGGTTGAAGATTTCAGGGCTTGGTCAGTGGGACCCGGTTCCCTTCCTTGACACCGACCCAGACCTGCAGGTTGCTTGCCTTGAGCCGGACCTTCTTCTGCATGGCGCGGAGCCCCCTCCAGGTGAGGTCCCTGATCTTCGCCGGGAAAGGCCAGGTGAGGTTTTGCGTCTTGCCCTTAAGTGGGCCGAGAAGGGCCTCCTCTTCCTTAAGGATGACTACTCTGACCAGGCCTCGCATGAGGATGCCGTGCGGGTGTTCAACTGTTACAAGGCCAGCGACTGTGATCGCCAAATTGGCGATAGGAGAGCCCGGAACTTTCGTGAAAGAGCCCTCCGCGGGCCCAGCACCTCTTTGCCTTGCGGCCCGGTCTTCCTTGGACTCTGCATCCCCCCTTCGACCAGCACCCTCCGCATAGCTGTTGCTGACCGGAAAGACTTCTACCATCAGCTAAGGGTCGGCCCTCGGAAGGCCGTGCACAATGCCCTCTTCCCTCCCCTGCTGGAGAAGGATTTGGTAGGAACCGAGGCTCACCGCCTCCTGTGCGAGCAGCGTGCCCTGAGAGAGCCCCGCGCTCTGCTTGTTCCGCCTCCTGACCGGGCCCAGGTCGTCGCTTGCTTTAAGGCAATTTTTCAAGGTGATCATTTGGGGGTTGAGATCGCGACCTGTGCTCACCGCAACATGTTGAGGGCGTCCGGCCTACTGGTGCCAAGGGAGGAGCTCCTCTCCACCCGGCCCTTCCCACCAAGCGAGGTCCTTCAGGGACTTGTGATAGATGACTTCTATGCGGTCTCCCTTGAGTCCCTTGACACCCCTCCCGAGCGGTCGCGCGCCGTTGCCCGACTCGACCTTGCTTTGGAAGCTTATGAAAAGCATCGGCTGCTTGGATCGGTGGAAAAGAATGTTCGTGGCTCGGACTGCTCGCGGGTTGCTGGAGCTGAACTGGATTCTTCGCCCGGGACCCGCCAGCTGGGCTTGGTCACCGCCGGGGCCCCTAGAGCAAAGAGGCTTTCCTTGGCTTCGATATCTTTGTCGTTGGCCTCCCTTCCGAGCACGACAGAGGCCCTGCACTCCTGCCTTATAGGGGGCTGGGTTTCGGCCTTCATTTATCGGCGCCCTCTTATGGCTGTCTTTCAGAAGGCTTTCGCTGTGTGCCCGTCCCACGTTTCTCAGGGCACGTCTCCTGCACCAGTGCCGCTCACAAGGGGAGTTTCGGATGAGCTTGGGTTGGCTGCTGCCCTGGCTCCTTTGGCGGTAGCCGATCTTGCTGCCCCTTGGGATGACCACCTTTATGCCACGGACAGCAGTGAGGAGGGAGCTGCTATTGTTTGCACGCCCGTCTCCGAGGCTACCTCGGCACAGGTGTGGCGGGCCTCGGATCGAAAGGGGGCCTCCACCAAGCTGCTCTCGAGGATCCAAGCTGCCGTCAGGAAGGCCGACCCTCTTCATGAAGAGGCTTGCCTCGAACCCCCTCCCGGCTCTGATGCCCTTTGTGTGGGGAGCGATGATTTTGGCCTCCCTTTGTCCCGGCCGGGGAGGCCGCTCGGTCTTCGTTTTCACTTTGTTCAAGTCGGTGGCCCAGGCACCTTGATCTGCGATGCCCTCTCTCAGAGAGGTTAGGTCCCTGGCCCGGTCCTGCATCTCGACTTTTCGCCTCACTACGATCTCGGTGGCCACGAGTTTTTCCTTTGGCTTGTCCATTTGCTGGACACTGGGGGGGCTGATGCTTTTTACCTCCGGCCCCCCAGTCATTTCTTTTCCGCGGTTGCGTGGCCGCCCCCTCGCCCTCTTAAAGGAACCAAGCCCTGTGCTCATGAACGACGAGCTCTCTTGGAATTGTGCCTTGCTCGTCGGGCCCTTTTCCTCTTCCATCGCGCCATTCGCGTCGGGGCCCTCTGTATGCTAGAGCAGCCCTTTGGGAGCCAACTGCCCTGCCTTTCTCCGTGGAAGGGGGCCCTCAGGCACCGTGATGTTGTTGAGGTGTCCCTTTCGGCATGTATGTTTGGCTCGCCTCAGAAAAGGCGTTTTCGCCTCCTCTCTCACCGTCTTCCTGCCTTGGCTTTGGGCTGCAAATGCTCGGGGAAGCACCTCCATCAGGCTGGGCCCGCCCCACGCGGAGGAGCGACCTCCATTCCCGGCCTTGCCGAAGCCATTGCTCAGGTTTTCTCGAGGGGCCTCCGTCGGCTACTTGAACAGCGGGCCGGAGCTGATATTGACGTGTATGGCTTGGAGTCTCCTTTGATCAACGACCTCGCCCTCTCTTCCGATTGGAAGGTTCAGGCAGCCTGGCGATGGGACCGCGAGTCCCACATCAATGTGTTTGAAACCGAGGCCTACTTCCGTCTGTGCCTTCACAAGGCTCGCCTTTGCCGACCCTGCCGATTCTCTTCCCTTATCGACTCAAACGTCGCTAGGTGTGCCTTGAGCAAGGGGCGTTCGCCCTCGGTCGCCTTGACACGTGTTCTCAAGAAGGTCTCGGCCGTCTCCTTGACCGCAGGGCTCTATGGGGCTTTGCCTTTCTGCCCCACTCGCATTATGCCGGCCGATAATCCTTCTAGGGGCAGCGCGCCCAGCCCTCCTGTGCCAGGCCAGCCGCTCACCGAGGCTCTTGACCTCGAAGCTCTTGCGGCCCTCCCTCGCCTTCGAAGATGGGCCTCGAATTGGGTCAGGCTTGTGCTCCGGTCCTCCCCTTGGTTTTCTCCCAGCAGCCAGGATCGCTTTGCCG